TTATAATTCACAACTGCATGAGAAAAGATGTAAAAAAACATGTTAATTCAGTTAAAAACAAATCAGTTGTTTGGATGTTAATTCTAATAAAATTTTAACGTGTGTCTTACTTTTCACTTATTTAATCAGATATTACACCAATAATCAATGTAGCTGTGAATGCCTCTTATTGTTCCATGCAAACATTTAGTCCCAATCTGTGTTGATTGTGTTCTGAACAGGTTCAATCTTGTTGTCTTTTTAATGGGCATGTCCAGTGGCCCTTGTAGATGAACATACATATCTTATAAAGTTGAATCTTCACTGCACAGGCTTTTTGTTTTTCTCCATCTCTTCCTGTATTTTTTTCTTTTTTGTAAATGTATGTAACAAAAGAAGAATACAAAGAAATTAACAGTAAAATTTTGCTGATCAGTGGATATTTGTAAACTTTGTTTTCTGTCTTTTACAGGAGGTTACTCGTCACTTGCAACGTCTGAACAAACTGCAAGCACATCACAATGCCTGTGAAAAGCGCTATGAGGAGGCTAACTCAAAGAGGAGGATTGAAGAGAAGGAGAAAACGACTATTTTACATCGTCAAATCACACAGGTAAAATGCTCTGACCTGGTAATGCACCATAGAGTAAATGACAAATATATTTTGAGTGGAAAACGGATCAATTACATTTGTCATTACTAAACATGTTGTTTGTATGGTGTACTTGAATAGGAATAGTATAGCAATTTTCTAACAAATAGTAATCAATAGTTACCAGGCTTTACATTATTCACAGAGGTTAGCATATTAAGTAGGCTAAAGTCTTTATAATGGCTAAATTAATGGCAGTGAAACTATTGCCAATTTTGTGTTTGTCACGTCAACAGAAGGTTTGTTTTATTTTATTTTATTTTATTTTTATCAACAAACACAGCAAATGTCTATGGGAGCAGGAACTGTTTTGGTTTCCCAAAGGAAAGGAGAGGCAAGTTTTTCTTGTTTTAAGGTTCTCAGCAGAGCTGAAAGTATTAAGTCTGGGAAGAGGAGAGGTTTGACCCCAGGTGGTCAAAGGTCAACCAGTGGTGAGGTGAGGTGAGGTGAGGTGAGGTGAGGTGAGGGGAGGGGTTTCCCTACAAAGTTATGTTTTAGAGACCAAAGTCTCTGGTAGCTCACAAGCAAAGTGCAGAAGGAAATGTCAGGACTGACTGCTGCAGTCGCTGCTCGAGCCACTGCTTCAACCTGCAGTTTGTCTCTGTTGAAAACCTCGCCCTGCTCTGATTGGATAAAATGGCTCTGGAGTTCGTCTGATTTGTTGAAAGCAGTGTCCATTAAATCCTGATATATCAGGGTCCCGCTGCCCTGCTCACACCGAGCAACGATCACATGCAGCTGGATTTTTTAAAATCAGGTCGCAATTGTGGCCTAACTGGTCACACTCTAGAACTAGCTGTTGTTTTCACAATCTCAGGTACAATGTTAGGTACGCAAGTAAGCTTTATGACGTTCCATGTAGTGCACTTATTCTTTTTGGTTTGTGCTTGTGCGCCTGTGCACCACTTATGTGCAACCTTAGTTATTGTAAAAGAGCTGTGATCGCGACTGTCACACCAGCAGTCATCTTGTCCAGCAGGCAAGATGGCCGCTGGGATCCATTGTAAAACCCGCAATATCCGCAATCATGCAATGAATTTCAGGCCCGGCTGTGTAATGATTAAAATAATAGTAAAATTTGGTGAGATCTATATTTTTGTTCCTTTTTTAYAGTATATTAAACTTCAGACACTTTAATACTGAATTGAAATCAGTTTTTGACATTGGCTGTCATTTGAAACAATTCTAGTATATTTTTAATTGGGATTTCTGTACCTCTATTTCAAAAATGTCCTGCCTTTATCATTTTCACATATAAATTGACAAGATTTGGAGGAATTTTCACCAAACCTCTCACAGTTTTGGATCATTCATCAAAGACACAATATGATTGTCCATTTCTTTAAATGAACTTCAGTGGGTATTGGTAATGCATCAGAGCCTTGCTTAAGATATGTTAACACTTTTACACAAATTTATCTTTGCCAATTAAAAAATTCAATACTCATTAGGACTAAGAATACTAAATACTGCTGTATTTTGTTGTTTTTTTTTCCCTCTGTAAAAAATTGATTCAGGTAGTACCCCACTTTTGAGTAACTTGAACTTTTGAATAATCTATCTAGTAAGTGAATTAAGTAACATTTCTTTAATTATTAATTATTATTGGGGCACTGTGGCAAAGTGGTTATGGGAGTCGTCCTGGAACCGGTAGGTCCTTAGGCAAGACACTCATCGCCTCTGATGTGTCCCATCAGTGTATGAATGTGATTGGCACTGATTAGGCTCCAAAGATGATTGTACATGTTAGCTTTGTAGAGACCTAATAGAGTGCTGTGTGAATGGGTAAATGAGGGCACAGATTGTAGTGTGATGTGCTTTGAGTATCCTGGTTGGATAGAAAGGCGCTATACAAGTACAGTCCATTTACCATTAATTTGTCCCATGCAATTGACATCAGATTTTTTTTCTATTGTAGATGGAGTACAGCACGGACTCCTCGTTATCTGATTCTGACATCGATGATAAGGAATATGTGCCTTGTTCATCAGAAGACTGTTCGGATGAATTAAACAAAAGCATTGAAACATCAAAACTCTTCAAGAAACAAAACATGAAGACATCCTCATCAAAATCTAGTACTGCACGACAAGAAAAGCAGTTAGAAGATCAGTCAGACAAGTCAGACCAAGAAAGTGATTGTCTGATTATATCTGAAGTTCCAACAGAAAATGGTTCCAAGAAGTACCACAAAAAGCAAAACTATTGTGTTTATTGCAAGGTACCTCAGTCCAAAATTGCGCGCCATCTGGAACGTAAACATAAAGATAAATCAGAAGTTGCTAATGCAATGATTTATTCAAAAAAATCAAAAGAAAGGAGAAACATACTGAATTTTTTGCGAAAGCAAGGAAATCGTGCACACAATATAGATGTACTCAAAGAAGGAAAGGGTACACTTGTACCTTGCAAGCAAAGAAGTGATGGGAGCAGCAATCCAAAGGATTATCAGCATTGCTTTGCTTGTTTTGGTCTCTTTAAACGCAAGTTTTTGTGGAAGCATGCAAAACGCTGCACACTTTTAAGAAATGTTACAGAAAAAATTCCTGGAAAAACTCGAATACAGACGCTATGTGCTAATGCACAACCTGTTTCTAAACAGGTAAATAACCAAGTGTGGAAACTTGTTAACCACATGACACAAGATGAAGTTGCAATAGCAGTAAAATCTGATGAGTATATCTTAAAAGTAGGAGAAAAAATGTACAACCGGCAGCGTGAAAATGCCTCCCACCATGAAAATGTTCGACAGACGATGCGAGGACTAGGAAGACTCTTAATCCAAGGAAGGAAGGTGACCCCTCTCAAGCAAATGAAAGATTATATTCTTCCACAAAACTTTCACCATGTTGTTCAAGCTGTTAAAGACGTTGCAGGATTCAATGAAAAATTGAACAAGTTTCAGAAACCCACACTAGCCACAAAGCTAGGACAAAGTATACAGCGAGTGGCAGATATCATGGAGGCAGAAGCTCTCTCGTGTCAGAACAATGTAAAGAAACGGGCTGTACAGGAGTTCAGACGGATATACAGTCTGACTTGGAACGACATGATCTCCTCTGCTGCATACCGTACTGTGGAAGAAAAAAAATGGAACAAAGCCAAGTTAATTCCTTTGGCAGATGATGTGAAAAAAATGCATATGTGCATAAGTGACAGACAGGGAAAATGCTACAAAAAGTTGATGGAGGAGAAAACCTCAGCAAACTGGAGCAATCTAGCTAAAGTGCTACTAGCACAGATTATTCTTTTCAATCGCAGAAGAGAAGGGGAGGTATCGAAGATGTCTTTGGAAGCGTTTGTCAACAGGGACAAATCCCCTGTTAATGAAGATGTTACTGAAGCACTGTCAGAGTTGGAGAAAAAGCTATGTCATCATTTTGAACGTGTGGAAATTCGAGGGAAACGGGGCAGGAAGGTTCCTATTATCCTTACTCCAGACATGGTGGAATCTCTGGAGCTCCTTGTAAAAGAGAGGGGCTCATGTGGAGTTGGTGAGAACTCCTACTTTTTTGCCAGGCCAGGGTTTGAAACAAGACTTAGAGGGTCTGACTGCATTCGTGAGTTGGCTAAAAGCTGTGGGGCCCAAAAACCTGAAGCACTCTCTTCCACAAAACTGAGAAAACAAGTGGCCACTCTGTCCCAAGTGCTGAATCTAAATGACACAGAGCAAGATCTTCTAGCAGACTTTCTGGGACATGATATAAGAGTTCACAGAAAGTTCTACCGACTCCCAGAAGGGACTTTGCAGTTGGCCAAAATCAGTAAGGTACTAATGGCCTGTGAACAAGGCAGACTTGCTGAATTTAAAGGCAAAAGTCTGGACCAAATAAGTATCAGCCCCAAAGGTAAGTGAATATGCATTTATTTATTTTTTTTCTTCGAGAAAATATATATATACTTTTTTTTTTTCAAGACACATCTGAAGTTGGAGAAGAGAGCTCAGGGGAGGAATCAGAAGATACACAGGGGAAATCTCTTTCAGGTATGTATGCATTTAAAATTGATTTGATTGTTTTTGATTCAGCAATTCAACAGTTCTGCTTCAATCATTAGTTTTGTGCACGTAAAGGCTTTGACACATTAACACCAACACGGTGCCCACAGGGACCCTGTCGCCCAAGGAGCATGTTCTAAAAAATAGCATTCATTATCAAGCAAGCAGCCAGCTACTAGTCCATGGACTAATCTGTAATACTCCACAGCATGCAAAAAAGGACCCATAGTGTTTCATGTACTTCTCTTTCGCTTTCTCGAATGCACACACAAGCAGCAGCACACAAAGCACCACCCCCTTTCTGGAGCATTAAAGCTATAGAGACCAGATAAGAAATGGACATAAAAATGAGGGAAATACAAAAGTTTTTGGTAACCCATCCAAATGATACCTTTGGGATAAATTAGAGCAGAGACTGAGAGTCAGGCAAAATTTCAGATTTTTTAACTCGAGCGTTGGCTGCTTTGGATGTGCCGCATGCACATCAAATGCTCAAACCACCCCTACCACTTCAAAACACGCGCCACGAGACCCCTAGATGCACGTCCACCATAGACTTTGCATGTAAACCTGACGCTTCCGCAGCTCAAAACACGTTGGGTGTGAATGCAGCTTTAATCAGCTCTGTGGACTAACACCAGCTCCTGCCTAGATTTATGGTGTTTTGAACAAACGACTCTGGTTACTTTTTTGAATGTTGAGAACAGTCAATAATAATTCATTGCTGCGCTACTGATGAGCATTACTTTTTCAACATACAAGGATCCTGCAGGCACCCAGTTGCACGCAGGGTCTGTGTTGGTGATTTTTGCTGTAATATATAAGAGTAATTATATTGATAAGGTAAGTATGCTGTAGCTTCATCTGTCACATATTCATAGCAAAAATGAAAAAGTAACTTGCAAAGCTGTCATACCAGTGCTACATAATTTTGGGTTAGACTGAATGAGTTGATCTCAAACCACAGTCCAAACTTGAAGAATCACAGCAGTAGGGTAATTAAATGTTTATTCAGTAATGTTGTGGAAAATCTTCCACTAAGGCAGAAACACGTGAATAAAAGAGAAGGTGCACTGCGTGGTTTGGTTGTCAAATGATTTAAT